TCAGGTTGGAATGTTGGGGGAGGCTAGCCCCAAGCGTCTGGTCTTAATACTCTGTACGAACACACAGACATACAGACGGATATTTTATTTTACAAAGATAGAAGGAGTTCTGGATATAATAGCAATGAGCTTTGAATACTGCATAATAAAAGTAGTCCTAAGTATGCGTATAAACATCTACAAACAACTACACAGACTGAGCGTGTGTGTTTTCATTATACACATCCGTCCAGAAGCGGGGTTTACAACGCACATTAAGAGCCTGTCATTCTCAAACTATCACTGGTAATTTACCAGGGCAGCTCTCCTGACGTCAGGCGAGGCTATATTCCTTCATAAATTCTCACTTTTATATTGTAAGTTTACGAGTTAATATTACGGCCACTAAATATTAAGAGGAGAGGGAGTTGCAGGGAAGGGTGTAAATCTGTAGAGCGGCTGCCTGAGTTACGACTATTTGTAATGTAACCAGATTTTCCAGCTGGGCGTTGGATGGCTAAGCTCGCCACTCAGACACGTTTTCTGATTTATTTTTTTTATTTTCTAACAAGGAAATGATTAGTTATTTATTATTTTTTTCATTATTTTATTTGTGAATGCCAAGTATTGCTGCGTTATCCATGCATGAGGGATAATACCTGAAGATCTTGTGATAGAATTCTCTTAGTTGTACTAGCCATTTTAGGCTGCCAAAATTCTAGCTTCAGCTGCTAGGTCCCCATTTTCTGGATCTGCGTACTATTTGTTCTTAACAGTGTGGTACTTCCTCTCATCCTATGTCTGGCTTCCACCCATGAATTCTATTTCTGCTCATACGGCTTTTGAATGTTTTGTCTGCTCCGTCAGTCATAATGATAATCTTGAATGTTTCGATCATATCTTCTCTCACTCTTGTTTGTATTAGTATCGTGAGTGTTGGTCAGACTGAGCCTCGCAAGAATAACTCAAGGTCACCCAGTGGCGAAGTGAAAGATTATTATGAAGTTTGCAAAGAAAACACATCTTAATAAAATTCCCAAAAATTGAAAAAGCAAAGAAGAATTACGGATGGTTTTCCACGTAAGGTTGTTTCTGACTTGTTTTTTTTTCTCTCACTGTCGTCATAGAGTTTACAATTCATTCGTTTTTTTACCTGTGTGTTTCCGTAAAAAAAAATAAATTACAAGGCGTCTGAAATATTGATAATAAGCTTTGCAAATAAGATTGTCAGACCAATCAACCTAATCCGTGTTCTCAGAACTGGTTAAAGATGTGTTCTGTTCCTTGAAAAGCGTTTTGCTTACAATAGCAAAATGCAACCCATCTCTGAAGCATCGAAACTGCCTTAACGATTAACCGTAAATTTTTACTCCAATTCTGGATGAAAAGTCATCAAGACTGCTGCTTTGAACTCTGGTAATTTATATTCCTTTTTTTCGTGTCTGCAATAGTCATAAAGCGAAGATTCGCTGCATTTGATACATCATTCCTGAAATAAAAATGCATTCACGGAGATCCACTTATGGGTCCTTACCTAAGATTACCAACTCACCTTCTGATTAATCCAGCCAGACGCGCTTTCCTGTGTGACACACACTCTCTCTGATGAGTGACTCCACCTGACAGACACAAACGGTAACTTAAAACTTCTTGGAAAAAGTCTTAGATGGAGCAGACGAGGAGAGAAAGATAGGTCGTGAAACACAAACCAAACTAAGTCATCTCGAGCCTCAACACAAGTGAAAATAATGCATACACAAACACCATTAGTCACACCCAGTCATGCAGATGCAGATAGTCACAAACACACACACACACACACACACGCACACACACACACACACACACACACACACACACACACACACACACACACACACACACACACACACACACACACACACACACACACACACACACACACACACACACACACACACACACACACACACACACACACACACATAGACAAACACACACGAGAACAGGTCCTCGGAGTCGAGCAAACAACGTTCGGAAGTCACAGCTAACCCAAAGGGTCCGAATTCGATTCCTGGTCGAGGCAGAAACAAATGAGCCAAAACAAAATTACAAAATCAGATTGAGAGTCAATACATTAGACACCCGACGGTTAGGAAGGGGTCCAAGAGCCAACAGCTAGATGCTGCAGGCACACATAGTAAATAATACGCACCATAGCATGCAGACGCAAAAGCATAGCAAAGAACACAATTAATAAAGACGCCACACTTGGTCATGTGTCCTTCAAACACAGACGACGACAACACGGGCGGTAACAGGTGAAGATGAACAGGAACGAAGAACATTATAAGGAGCCATCAGTAAACCAGTATGACTATATAGCACGCGGAAGGGATATCTGAGGACAGGATAGGCGTTGAGATGAAGGGACGGGATAAATAATTGTCCCAGAGAGCAAGGAGAGGAAGAGAGAGAGAGAGAGAAAGGAGAGGCAGGTCGAGTCAAAGAGGGGCAGAGTCAGACAAGGAGAAAGAGGGTGAGACAAGGAGAGGCAGAGAAAGACAAGAAGAGGGAGGATGAGACAAGGAGAAACAGTGTGGGGAATTCTGACTCGTAGGATATGTATTAATTTATTTTAATATATAATTAATTGATTAATTTAATGCCATTTTATTTATGGTAAATAATTGAGTTATTTATTATTTCTTTCTATAGCTTAGTGGACTGTATGGATTTAAATTCTCCCAAATGTCATATCTCAACAGAATTTGGTCGGTTAATTAATTATATTAGCCTAGCAATCGAGAATTTTCGATTAATAGGAAAAATTATACTAAGTGTTAGTTTATTAATCTGAATGAGATTAGTTTAATAACTGATAGTCTTATCTGACTGAAGACTTCAGTCTGGATATTAAGACACGTGAGCAGTCTGTCAGGTACGGGCCTCGTGGCTATGGCGGATGTTTCATCGTGGCGACTGGTTGCTGACGATTAATTCCCAGGTGACCACAAGGTATTGATTTGTATTAAATGTAGATATTTTAATGGCGTGGCAATAATATATCCCACGTTTTAAGGGAAAATTCCACTATAATAATGCTTTCTATGAACGAGTTATTATATTAATTTGTGTTAGTATTGATTAATAGGTTAGTACAAGAACAGCAGCGACAATCTGCATATTATAACTAAAATTATTACAGGAGGTCGTTTTTTTCCGACATAATTCCAGGGTGGGTGGGTGAAACACGGGTCTGAGTTCACTAACACTGATAGTCCTCCTCAGAATTATTAGATAACTTTGATGTTAGTTGTTATTAGTTGACACATTTGTGCTTCAGTTTGTACAGGACGGATGTCCCGTATTAGAGTTGCAGGGATGGGAAGTCTTTAGATGCTTCATTTCCTGCTAATACTTGTGAGACTACATTTCTAGCCTAATTATATTTGATTTTATCCAGAGGACTGAATGTGATCAATTATTACAGTCAAGTATGCTCCTGGGACTGCATCTCCACACACTACCACTAGCCACCACCACACACTACCACCAGCCACCACCACACACTACCACCAGCCACCACCACACACTACCACCACACACTACCACCAGCCACCACCACACACTACCACCACACACTACCACCAGCCACCACCACACACTACCACCAGTTATCCCAACAAGGAGCAATAGTACCACTTAACGAAGCTAACACCGCCTTCATTACCACGTTAGTGTTGTTGTTCATCAAGAACCTTATCTAAGACAGCTGGTCGAGGCTCCAACTCTCCCCTCCTCCCTCCCCCCTCTCCCTAATCCCACAATCTTCTCCAACCACTCCCTCCCCCCCCCCCCTCCCCTCACTCTCCCATCACCAAACCTTTTAAACAGTCTTACAACACCTTTTCCTACCACCACTAACAACCCTCTCCCTTCTCACAATCCTCCTCAACAATCCTACCTTTTCCAGCCTCCATCAACTCCCCTGTCCTATACCCACTCCATTCGCTGCCCTTTCCCTTCCAGCTTCCCTCATACCCCCCCTCATGGTGTGGCTCACTCTCCCTCATGGTGTGGCTCACTCTCCCTCATGGTGTGGCTCACTCTCCCTCATGGTGTGGCTCTGTGGGAGAGTAGAGAGCCACCGAGCATCGTCCTGCTCCAGCATCTGAGACGTCTTAAGAGTGTTCCTCAGCCGTCCTCCAACACCACGAAGGTGCTTCTCTGGCGTGCGTGATGTGCAACACTCGGCCCCCTGATGTTTAGGGCGTGTCTTTGGAAGTGCCCAGGGTGCTGGTTCGAATCCAATTGAAGCTGGCCTTCTGAGGCTCCAACTCATTTATTATTTTTGTTTTATTATTATTGTTATTATTATTATTATTATTATTATTATTATTATTATTATTATTATTATTATTATTATTATTATTATTATTATTATTATGAATTTATTATAATAATTATTCAGATGTTTATGATTAGCAATATATTAATTTTATTATTATTATGTTCATTATTTAAAATATTTCTCTCTTACACACACACACACACACACACACACACACACACACACACACACACACACACACACACACACACACACACACACACACAGGGGCCTCGTAGCCTGGTGGATAGCGCGCAGGACTCGTAATTCTGTGGCGCGGGTTCGATTCCCGCACGAGGCAGAAACAAATGGGCAAAAGTTTCTTTCACCCTAAGTGCCCCTGTTACCTAGCAGTAAATAGGTACCTGGGAGTTAGTCAGCTGTCACGGGCTGCTTCCTGGGGTGTGCGTGTGTGTGTGGTGTGGGAATAAAAAAAAAAAAAAAAAAAAAAAAAAAAAAAAAAAAAAAAGTAGTTAGTAAACAGTTGATTGACAGTTGAGAGGCGGGCCGAAAGAGCAAAGCTCAACCCCCGTAAAAACACAACTAGTAAACACACACACACACACACACACACACACACACACACACACACACACACACACACACACACGAGCGCACATTTGCAATCAGTATAAAGAGTGATAATCACTGACGCCATTATCAGTGTGTCTAATGGTGGTCTCAGCGCTCGCGTCTCCGGTGCCATAAACATGGAGCTCGTCCACACCCTCATAGCTTCTCTCTTGCTGGTGCTGAACTCTCTCGCAAATACTGAGGGTGATGCTCCCGCCAGAAGCTATTTTGACCACATAGTTGGTGGATACTTTAGTGACGCCGTAGGTGGATTTGCCAGTGATGAATTGCAAGTGAACGTTGAGGCGCAGGCGCGTCCCTGCCCTAACGACGCAGATCTCAGTCCCTGCTCCTGTACTGTCCACGACGAAGACAATTTTGTCATCGATCTGGATTGCTCCGAAGTGGAGAGCGAGGAGCAGCTGGCGACGATCATGAGATCACCCTTCCCGTTTGTACACTTCCGCAACCTGACGATAGACAGCAACCCGAACGTGGTGGTGTTGCGCCGTGGTGTCCTGGCCAACATCACTTTCCAAGAATTCTATATAACGGGCGGAGCTCTGACGGAGGTGGAGACCGGTGCCCTCTCAGGCAGTTCCTCCACAGCAATATCTATGCATTTTGAAGGCAACGACATAGCAGTGTTTCCCTGGGGGGAACTCTCGTTATTTACAGCCCTCGTGGACCTGGACGTTAGCGACAACAGCATCTCCACATTCCCAGCTCTCATATCTGACAGTCTGAAGTACCTCGACCTGTCCAACAACTCGCTGGGTCTGGTTCCTAGCATAGCTTTCAGGGAAACTCCCTTACTGGAGGAAATCTACCTCAACGGTGTCAACATGCTGGAGATACTTCCAGGTATTACCCATTTTACTGTATATTTTTGTATATATACATATACATATATATATATATATATATATATATATATATATATATATATATATATATATATATATATATATATATATATATTATTAAATATGACCGAAAAAGTAAGATTAATAATTCTAACACGAATTTTCTCAATCTTTCGTACATTACGCTTCACTGTTGGAGGTAAATCAAAAATCACTTCTCCAAAATTCATTTTTATTTCTAGTCTGACGCGACACGGGCGCGTTTCGTAAATCTTATTACATTTTCAAAGACTTCACAAATATATATATATATATATATATATATATATATATATATATATATATATATATATATATATATAAATATATGTATATATATATATATATATATATATATATATATATATATATATATATATATATATATATATATATATATATATATATATGCGAACAAGCCTGAATGGTCCCCAGGACAATATGCAACTGAAAACTCACACCCCAGAAGTGACTCGAACCCATACTCCCAGGAGCAACGCAACTGGTATGTACAAGACGCCTTAATCCACTTGACCATCACGGGGTGAGGTGAATGAGGTGATTTGGTAAAATGCTATGCCCAAGATTACTATCCGAGTGCCGGCGGTGGGGTGGTTCAAATAGCCTCGGCTATCACCTCATTATGTCCGGTCGTGATGGTCAAGTGGATTAAGGCGTCTTATACATACCAGTTGCGTTGCTCCTGGGAGTATGGGTTCGAGTCACTTCTGGGGTGTGAGTTTTCAGTTATATATATATATATATATATATATATATATATATATATATATATATATATATATATATATATATACATTATACAATATATATAAATATATGTATATATATATATATATGTGTGTGTGTGTGTGTGTGTGTGTGTGTGTGTTTTATTTAAACTTTGTTTAAAGTTTAAACAAAGTTTAAACATACAACAAAAAATGAGTTACATATAGGGTACAAAGATGATTATCATAAGTTGTCGAGTTCCTCCAGCTCCTCAGATGGCGGGCAGGAACCCTCAGTGCAGTGCGCATTTCCCCTCTGTATCGCCACGCTGAGGCGCTGGAAAAGGAAGCTGGTTGCTCTAGGGTCTCTTGTTGTTTCAATGAGCCTAGAACCCAGTTCCTTCAACAAACTGGTGGCACTCTTACCCCAGACGCCGAGTGCCTCAGAAGCAATGGGAACAAAATTATAGTGGTGATCCAATTCTCTGCACTTACGGGATTTGGCTGATACCCTGTGAGTGGCAGCGTCACCTGGTTGTGCAATACTGAAGTCAATGTAGGTGTTAGCCAGGGTTGATACGCACGTGTAGTCCCATACTAACTGCTTGTTATTCTTCCAGGCGTTCACAGTGATACCATCCGGGCGGTCAATAAGAGCAACAGAGTTACGGGGCGTTAGGTAACGGGGCTCTCTTTCAGCTGGGCATCCAGCTGTGGTGAGGCTCCTCTTGATGATGTCGTTAACTTCACTGTGCCTCGAGTGCCATTCCCCTGTGCTTTGGCAGAGTAGGCCATGGTGACCGTACCTGTCAGCCACCACCTCGCCGCAAATACATCTATACATTTTCCTTTTAGTGTATAGACTCTAGAATAACTTTGAAATCACAAGCCAAAAAATTATTCAAATTTCTAACAGGCATTTTACCTCAAGGTCTGTAAAGACAAATAATAAGCGACATTAGTGAATAATATAGATAGATGAAGCGGTCTAACAAAATGGATATAAATCAGGTTTTAAGTTTATCTACTCAAAATAGAAAGCTAAACAACGGTTGTTAATTAATAAGTTTAGAATAAAAATGACCTTGGTAAATACTGGTTTGGAAAATGGTATGTTGACTTATGAAACAAATTACTGGCCAACATAATAGTGATCATTGGATAGTTTCAAGTGTAGGTTAGACATTCATATGAATGAGCTTTAATGTATATAAATAGGATATGCCAATTACGTGCCAATAGGATTATTGTAGTTACGCTTAATTTTTAATTATAACACCCACACCCAACAGCCTCCACCACTCCCACACCCAACAGCCTCCACCACACCCACACCCAACAGCCTCCACCACACCCACACCCAACAGCCTCCACCACTCCCACACCCAACAGCCTCCACCACACCCACACCCAACAGCCTCCACCACACCCACACCCAACAGCCTCCATCACACCCACACCCAACAGCCTCCACCACACCCACACCCAACAGCCTCCACCACACCCACACCCAACAGCCTCCACCACACCCACACCCAACAGCCTCCACCACACCCACACCCAACAGCCTCCACCACACCCATACGGCAGCCTAGTAAGGCGTAATTGGAAGGGAGAATGAAACAAAAGTACCGAAGGGAAATAATAAAGGAAATGTATTATAAGAGAAATTTTCACTTATTCCAAAAGGGGAGAGAAATCCTGAATATTTTGAATATTCTTCAATACTTGAATATTCGATCTGAATACTCTTCCCTCCCCGAATACAAGTTCAGGGAGGGTAGAGCCCTATACTGTGTTACAAGTGTGACACAGTATAAGGGTCAAATAAACACAGAAATAAATACAATATACGAGGAAAATATTAAATGTCACGCACTCATTTGTAATGAAAATATTAATATCTTTCCTAATCAATGAACAAACACAACACAATATGCAGGAGCGGCGTCAGTTCGGTGTCGAATCAACGTCGTCAACGTTAAATTGGCGTTGATGACGTTGATTCCGAAGCGAACTGGCGCTGCTCTTGGATATCGTGCCCACTGGGTCATATATTTTCATTACTGGCAAGATATAAAAATGCAGAACATAGAAACATTCTTGACTCACCCACTGTTGAACCTCACAACAAACGACGCACCGAGCTACATCAGTGAAGTCTTAACACAAAACTGGGATAACATTGTGACGTCATAGTGACGTCTCACACCTTCTGTACCATAGTTTTAAATACATAATTTTATCTTTTATTTTGGTTTGGTTTGCTTAGGTTAAGTTAGGCTAGGTTAGGTAAGGTTAAGTTAGGTTGGCTTACGTTACGTTAGGTTTGGTTGGGTAAGGTTAAGTTTCGTTACGTTACGCTAGCCCAGATTAGGTTGGATTTCTTTATATTTGCTTAAGAAGTAGCGACGTCATATGGTAGAGAAAACTTCTCAGGTCATAGACACTACTCAATTCAATTTCTATATGGTGCTTAGCTCTTGTGTTCGTCTCCACCACAGCGAGGACGTCAACCTCGTCCACTCATGTCCTGGACCTCTCTCTCCTGCTCTGGCTCAGCCACTCGTGTCTCCTTATGTACCATTTTCAAGTTATAAAGCCAAGCTAAATCCGCCCTAATGAATATGAGCTCAAGATCATTTGTGTTGCTTCTAGAGAAGTCAAAATTAAATAGACATATTACCTCCATCAACAGATTTCTAGATCAAATAATTTTTGGGACAATCAAACTGCTAACATCAGTAGTTAAACTCATTTCATTTCAAACACAATGGCAATAATATTAAAACTAAACAAATACTTCTAAAATGACAATCGTTACACTATGCCACCCCTGCTGTATCTCACCTGCTTTCTTTAAAAGTCCTTCTTACGGCTATTTTTCCATTTTTTTCTTTTCTTCAGATAATACTTAATCTTTCCACACAGGGACTTTCTCCGGACTGCATTACTTGAGAATAGTGAGTGTGAATAGTAACGAGGTGTCTTCAGTACCAGAGGGAGCCATACAGTTCACAACTGTTTCTCGTTTTACTGAGGTTCATCTCTCTGACAACAACATCAGAAACGTCGCTGCCAACGCCATAACAGGTGAGAAGCTTTTTTTTTCTTGTTATACCAATATATCGTCCAGTAAAATAATGGTCTATATAACGAACGAGACGTATATGACATGGTATGGATTGTCACGGGAAAAACATAGCCCACCTATGACCGATTTAAGAAAATGAAAATGCACACGAAGGAATCCACCTAGTCTAACCTATCTTGGTCCTGACCTCACTATTCTTAGATCTAACCTAACCTATGCTTGATCAATTCTAACATATCAGCAAAATATATGCATCTTTATGCCTAACATATTATTTATATGTGGCAGGACAGGCATAGATTGGTTAGCTTAGGACTGGGATAGATTAGGCTGTGTTGTAATCTTCAATTGTTATTTCTGATATTTGCACATTTTAATTTTTTTCATTATGGAAAAAGGTGGCTATTATATTTCATTTTCAGTCCGTATTTTGTACGTGCACATCTCGGTCCCTAGATGAGCTATTTCAGTCAAAGATGAGTTGTATTTTACAAAAAAGAGTATTTCATACTTTAAACTATTCTCTCAACTTTTAGAATAGTTATCAGATAATTGCAAGTAACACCCACAAACGTTTCAAGTTTCTGTAATGTTATTCGTTTATTTTATTCCAATAATGTTTTATTATTAGCTGTACCTACTACAGAGGTATATTGTATACGCTGAGAGATATAACCCGCTTCTCGGTGAATATAGACAGAAAGTTTAATTTAGTCCTGGGGACAATTTTCAGGACTAAAGTGCCCTTGCTGTTCGGTCGGTAAATAATTGTGGTTCACTTTAATTACCTTCCATAGGTTATTAGACCTTAAGCCCAACACCAAACCAAATCAATGTGCCATTGGATTATCATATCGAATTATGTCTGCTAGTAATTTATTTTAAGCTAATCATTGTCATGCATTAAGGTATTTGCTCTAAGTGGATGGAAAGAACTGAGGAGATAAAGATTATTTGGATTATCTTAACTGGTGATTTTTAGCAACTTGGATAGCCTATTTGATCCTCAAACAATTACAAAAAACTTCAAGCAAAATTTTGAATTTGGGTGAGCAACGCTGAACCTAACTCATTGTTCATATAAGAATGGAATATAATGTAATTGAACTATGTTACATTATCAGGTGTCACAAACGGCGGCGACTTGTTCCTGGATAGCAACGAGCTTGAGGAGTTGAAGGAAGAGGTGTGGAAGCCGTTGCTTGAGCTCGGTGCTCGCCTGCATCTCCAAGGTCAGTGAAGACTCCCGCCTCTTTCCAGTACCCACCGTTTCAACAAGCTTATTAAATCCACAACTCTCAGTGCTAACATAGGATAACGCTTCATGCAGGTCAGCGTTCAATCCCTGACCGCCCAAGTGGTTGGGCACCATTCCATCCCATCCCAAAGCCTTATCCTGACCCCTTTCCCAGTACTAAATAGTCGTAATGACTTGGCCTTTTCCACTGATAATTCCCTTCCTCCCTGTCATTCAACGTTTACAAACTGTCTGTTATGTTATCCGTGCTTTGCAGATAACTGGAATTACATTTTTTTTCCAGACAATCCCTTGACCTGCGGCTGTGACATCGCCTGGATCATGATGAACAGCCCCATCCTCGCCCTTATTGATGACCGCACCACCTGCTCCGACGGAGAGCTCATGATAAACCTTAATCCAGATATCTTCGTAGATTTGTGCTATTAAAGAACCTCTTGAATTCACCGTGATGGTCACTCTAATCCCCCGGGAATGGCAGTGCTTCGTGAGATCAGTGGACAGTGTCAATTCTCGGAGCCACTACTGCAGGTGTATTCACCTAGTTGTGCTTGCGGGGGTTGAGCTCTGCTCTTCTGGCCCGCCTCTCACTGTCAATCAACTGTTTCTACTAGTACTATTACTACTATTTTCTCCCCCTCTCCACGGTGATACTTTGTCTAGTCCAACCGCTCTATTTGCATCCAGTGTTGTCAACTGTCTCATTACCTCCCCTGCTGTCACCTCTATATCTGATGACAGATATAGTCTTCCATGATGACAGTCTTCCATCTAGGGTAATGTCTTCCAACAATGGGAGCTGCTCAGGCTCGGTAGTGAACACTCCATGGAAACTGGCATTCAGTGCCTAGCAGATTTCCTTGTCACTTTCAGTATATGCCCCCCCCCCCCCTGTTTTCCTTAGTCTTGTCACTTGGTCGTTCACCGACATTTTTCTTCTTATGTGACTGTGTAGTAATTTAGGTTGCTTTTTCTCTTTGATCACAATATCGTTCTCATAGTTCCTTTCCGATATTCGTCTTATGTTAATGTAATCGTTCCTAGCTCTGTTGCATCTGATCCTGTTGTCCTCTGTCCTTTGTCTTCTGTACTTCCTCCACTCCCGCCTGCTTCTCATTTTTGCTTCCTGACACTGTCTATTAAACCATGGGTTATTATATTCCCTCTTGTTTTTCTCTTTACTGTTGGCATAATTCTCTCTTCGGCCTCCTGCCATTTCCGTTTGACTAGGTCCATCATATTTTGGACTGATTTTCCTCTAATTTCTTCCTCCCACTGCACTTCTCCCAGATAGTCCCTTATCCTCCTGCAGTCCCCTTTCCTGTAGTGTGTGTGTGTGTGTGTGTGTGTGTGTGTGTGTGTGTGTGTGTGTGTGTGTGTGTGTGTGTGTGTGTGTGTGTGTGTGTGTGTGTTTGTGTGTATGTGTGTGTGTGTGTGTGTGTGAGTTTGTGTGTGTGTGTGTGTCTGTATGTGTGTGTGTGTGTGTGTATGTGTGTGTGTGTGTGTGTGTGTGTGTGTGTGTGTGTGTGTGTGTGTGTGTGTGTGTGTGTGTGTGTGTGTGTGTGTGTGTTTGTGTGTGTGTGTGTGTTTGTGTGTGTGTGTGTGGAAATTATCACATGCCTTTCTCATGACCGTTACTTCATCAGCGTTCATACATTCCTGGACTGACATGCATTAGGAACATGTTTGCTCAACATTGCATATGCACGAGAAATCAAGTCAACCGACCATATGAGAGCTTTAGCACACTATGGGCACCTGGTTCATCCATTTCCCTACTTGATATTTACTAATAAATAATTTTAGTTAATAGTTTTTATAATAGGCTCATAAAATAAATTAGTTTCTATGGTCAGGCTTCAAATGATCGAATGTAGGATAAGAGCCCTTAGTATCTTAGTATAGCTCTTAGTATGCAGTTTCACTGGGAAAATTAGCACAAGTCCTAGAGACTCTAGACATAGTTAAAAAAAAGTGTCTTTCTAATTAAGTCTTCACTCATGGCCTAAGTCTCTCATCAGTGGTAGGCCAAGACCCCTCCTCCCATCCCCCTCCCCCTCGCCTCCCCTCACTCATGCCTCGGGTCTTACCTACACCAAACATACGCAGATGAGTCTTCCTAAACGCAATCCATAATTCCTTTTCTTTGCATTCTTTAATGACGCTGTTAATATTCAGTGGCTCAAAAATTTCAGTTTAATCAATATGCTAAACAGGGAAGGCCCACCATCATCTCTCAATATATAATTTACATAAATTTGAATGGTCAAGGAAAGTGTTCCAACGATGTTTTAATAGGTTTAAAGGAAGATATAATCGAATGTTGCAAAGTATTCCCTTGATGCCATATCAAGGCCAAAAAACTGGTTGAGAGCTGATGCCATTATTGCATGTAGGAAAACTTTTTTATACGATGCAAACACCATTTGGAAAAAAATGACAAAAAGGTGAGAAGGAAATTAAAAATACATAAATATATACATAATCAGAGGTTCAATAACTATCTCTCATATGTCTTTCAATTTGTGGGAACCGACCTGTGAGATTTATATTTAATTCATATGAATTTATAGAATTTATATTTTCGTTAATATATATATTTCGATAGCAATTTGTATGATTTTTAGCGGTCAGTATTTCTGCAATATTCTAACAAATCGACTCCTACACATTAGGGGGGGGGAGTTATATTAAATTTATATATATGCAGCCAATCAAACTACAGTATTAAACTACATATATTAGTAATAAAATTATGAGGCCTTGTCTTATTGTATGGTAGGCCTAGTCCACCAGGTATAACTAGGATGTAGACACCAAATAATCCTCGTGCGAGGCTAGCTTCCAACACCCAAGTAACTGATGTACCAAGATTAATTCTTGTTTCCTCTTCTATGTTCCTGTCAAAAGGGCACTAGCTGAAAAACCGGAATCCTAATATATGACAGCTATATTAGATGAAACATTTGTTACATTATTAGATAAGGACCAAGGATTAATTACCTGGGTTGAGTCGTTAGCTCATGTACTAACCGGAATTAATCATATCTACCTAATATTACTGGCCAATAATGACTTATATAAGATTTCGGAAAGACACTTCCCTTGTGGTTGTTGACTGCGTATTGATGATGGTAGAAGCACTAATTTGATCTCCATAACACTCGTCCAAGGAAAAATTAACTCTGGTCTAACAATGGCTGACTTCCTTCACCACCGACGCCTGGCTCTCCTTGTCCAGATGTCAGTAAGTGATAGAAGGGTCACATTTACTCTATTTTGATACTAATAATTAAGTTATTTCAAATGATATGTTTTTATGATGTAATAAGTCTAAAGATTACTGTATTTAAGAATGATTCCCAACAGAATAGCTGGTGAATTTATAGCGCTATGTGGCAATGATATCTCGTTTCATATTGACGGAAAATTCCACTGCGCCACGTCTTCTATGGGAGAATATATATATATATATATATATATATATATATATATATATATATATATATATATATATATATATATATATATATATATATATATATATATACCTTCATTTTTATTTCTAGTCTGACGCGACACTTGAACGCGTTTCGTAATAACTTATTACATTTTCAAAGACTTTAGTTTACACACACACAACTATAACATGCAAACACTAAAACAGATTTCTTACTATGCTATAATTCGATTGATTGATTGATAAAGATTAAGCCACCCGAAAGGTGGCACGGGCATGAATAGCCCGTAAGTGGTGGCCCTTTTGAGCCATTACCAGTATCAAGAGCTGATACTGGAGATCTGTGGAGGTGCGACTGCACCCTGCGTGACGGGAGATGTCTCCCGTGTGTGCTATAATTCAAATGGCTTTTCATTTTATATACCTGCATTTGGGTGAGGTGATATGTTACAACAGTTTTAGATGAGGTGAAAACAAACTTTCAACACAAGATAGAACACGAAACATTGGGTAAAGTTAAAAGGGAAGAATGGAAGTAAATGCAAAGGGCCTATTGGCCCATATTTCTTGATGCTTCTATATTGGTGCGGAGTCTTGAAGTGGGTAGAATATAGTTGTGCATTAATTGGCTGGTGATTGCTGGTGTTGACTTCTTAATGTGTAGTGCCTCGCAGATATCAAGCCGCCTGCTATCGCTGTATCTATCGATGATTTCCGTGTTTTTTGTGAAGACTTCTCTCTCTCTCTCTCTCTCTCTCTCTCTCTCTCTCTCTCTCTCTCTCTCTCTCTCTCTCTCTCTCTCTCTCTCTCTCTCTCTCTCTCTCTCTCTCTCTAATGTGTTACCATTATATATATATATATATATATATATATATATATATATATATATATATATATATATATATATATATGTCGTACCTAGTAGCCAGAACGCACTTCTCAGCCTACTATGCAAGGCCCGATTTGCCTAATAAGCCAAGTTTTCCTGAATTAATATATTTTCTCTAATTTTTTTCTCATGAAATGATAAAGCTACCCATTTCATTTTGTATGAGGTCAATTTTTTTTTATTAGAGTTAAAATTAACGTAGATATATGACCGAACCTAACCAACCCTACCTAACCTAACCTAACCTATCTTTATAGGTTAGGTTAGGTTAGGTAGCCGAAAAAGTCATTCATGGTTAGGCAAATTAGGTAGGCTGAGGTAGGTACTAGGTACGACATCGACCTAAAGCCAGAACGCACTTCTCAGCCTACTATGCAGGGCCCGCTCATTTTCATGAATTATTACTCAATTTTTTTTCTTATGAAATGATAAAGCTACCCATTTCATTATATGGCAATTGGAGTCGTAGATATATGGCGAACCTACCTAACCTATATCTTTATAGGTTAGGCCGAAAATGTTAGGTTAGGTTAGGTGAGTTGTCGAAAAAACATGAAAACTTGGCTTATTAGGCAAATCGGGCCTTGCAGGTGAGAAGTGCGTTCATATATATATATATATATATATATATATATATATATATATATATATATATATATATATATATATATATATATATATAATGGTAACACCAGGAGCAGCCCGGAAATACTCCACCGGGGAACCACAAGCGGCTTGGAATATTTCCCCAGGGACCACTGACAGAGAGTAATATTTCCCCAGGGACCACGGTGAGACAAAGAATTAACATTTTCGAATTGTTTCTCCATCGAAAGTATATCTGGATAACTTATGTAGGTGTCTTGGTCTTGGGTGGGATTAGATAATTTCTCTATTTGAACCTAAATATCTAGCCGTCAATCTTCTTGTAACCTGAAAACACTTACAGGATCCCTTAACCGCTCGACCAACATGACCGGACAAAAAAAGGATGGTAGCCGAGGCTATTTCCATCCCCCCCTCCGGCACTCGGTTGGTAATCTTGGGCATGGTATTTTATCAAATCACCTCATTCTTCGGGGCACACGTGAGAAACA